CCGATGTCCTGCGCCAACTTGCTGGACGATGCGACGAGCTGGCACTTCTTCCTAGACACTGAAAACTCCATCTCGTGCAAACGCTTGCAAAGTGCTGGGGGAGCTCTGGACAATGACTCTCTGACGAACTTCTCCGATCCGAGCGCCGAGACCGTGATATCGTCTACCATTACGTACAAAGATAGCGACGGCCAGTACTCCTGCATGTACACAAGCGAACCGTACAGCACAACACGTAACATCGTCGTAGCGAACGAACACCCCGCTATGATCGAACATCCGATCGAGAAAGTACTCGAAACCGCCTCCCGAATCTTAATCATCCTCGGCCCTCCATATACCATTATCAGTAAGCGAGCACGACGAAGACTAAATTGATGCTTCTGGCAGGCGGCCCAAAGCACTTCGTGGGGAATTTGTTCGTACGCCTTCTCGAGATCGATCAGCCCCGACCCTGAGAAAGCCCCGATAGCGTTGGCCGCCTCTGCTTGGGCCGCCTGCTTCCAAACTGACTGCTCACAAGACTTGCCTTTGGAGCCGTATACGCACTCCAGGTGGTGCTCGCGCTCCCACTTCTTGGCCTCCGTGTGACGCATGCGACCAAGCAGCCGCACGCACGTGGCCAAGATGCCAATCGGGCGGTACCCGCCATCAGGCTTCTTCAAAAAGGCGATGAGCGCCGCGTGACACTGCTCTGGAATCATAAGATACGTCTCCACAAACGATAAGAACTCAGCGAAAACTGCTAGAGCTTGATCACTCAATTGTCTCAAGTTCCCTGGATTCCAGCCGTCTATCCCGATCGCCGTGTTCTTGCTGAACTTCTGAAGGGCCTCACGAACCTCTGATACCGTGGGCACAGGAGGGGGCTCCCCGAGCGGCACGTTGAGGTCCTGGGCTCTTAACCTGGATGGTGCACCTTCTCGCCATATGTGTTTCCATTCTTCCTGGAGGGCCTCCAGGGTGTCGACCGGCCCCGCTGGGGCCCCGTCCAGGCCAGCCCCGTCAGGGACCCACCCCAGCGGTTCCTTCGTCCCACGAAATCCTCCTCCTCCTCCTCCTCCTCCTTGTTTAAGATTTTGATCTACCCATTGCCTCCACTGCTGAGTCTTCTTCGACTTGGCCCTCGACTCTTCTGCATCTGCAATGGCCCGAACGGCCTCCAAAGCGCCCTGCAGCTCCTCGTGGGAGACGGCGGCGCGCAGCTGAAAGCTTTGCCTAAAACTCACCCACTCTGGAATACTGCTGAGTGCCTGCACTGGGGCCTCGAGCTTCCGAACAAGATCCTGAACTCCCGTCGAGTCCCAAGAGTGCTCCTTCCCATGAAGATAAGACAGCTCCTCCATCCAAACCTGATATTTCCTGAGCATCCTGGACCCCTGGCTGCACCTTGGAAAGGGGCCCGAAACGCGCTGCTGCAAAACTGGCTTCTCGACCACCTGGAACTTAGTACCCCGACCGCAGTACTCCGCGCGCTCAGTAGCCTCGATGCCTAGCACGTCGCACAGCTCCCGCCCCATGGAGTCGCACATCTCTCCATAGAGTGAAGAAAATTCTGCGCGTGATGGCTGTCGTCGCAGCCGTTCAAACTTGCCCTCGAAATGGGGCCAGTCCTGTGGCGGAGGAGGTGGACCTGAGGGCTTGTCTAGCGGAAACGGCTTCGGCACCTTCAGCACCTTCTGTGTCCGCTGATGTGCCGTAGTACCAATCTTAAGTGAAACTGGATAATGGGTCCTGTTACTGGAATCCTCTCGCCTGACGCAAGCCCGACCTTCCCCAACAAGATCGCGCGAAACGACGAAATAATCAAGTTCACGCCACACCTTGCCTACACGACAGGTCGGCTTCCCCGAATTGACTACCGCAGCTCTGAGTTTTCCCAAGACAAGCATTTTCTGGACCTCCGAGGGCACGTCGTTCCAGTCGGCCGCCATCACGAAAGGCCTCTGAGAACTAAAGAGAAACTCCCCCAGCTGGTTGAGCAATTGTTTACCCTTAGCTCCTTGGACCCCTTCTCCGCCAGGAAAGTACATGGAACACATATAGAACCCGCCGCGCACACAACCATTGACCCATACAATCGTTGAACGTGCATGGTGAAGGTGCCGCGCTCCACCCGCGACTTCACTGACGCCTATGTGCTGACGAACTCCTACTGCTACTCCTGCTGAGACGCCCCCCCAGGTCCGTCTGGACAGCCGGACTGATGCGCAGCTTCCAACCTTCGTCGGCCGCTGACTTCTCAGACTGTGAAACGTTGGTCTTGACGACCCTGCACTCCTGAATACAAATCACTGATGAACTCTTGAAATTCTCGTTCGTCAATGCTGCGATAGCGCCTGACCACCCTGATGTATTCACCGTGGTGATCTCCCACGTGGATGAAGAGGAACTGCTTCGACTGGTACGCTTGGGCGGCGACTCGCCACCCGTGCTAAACACACGGCGGAGTTGACGCAGGAACCTCCGCGCCTCCCTTGCCAGTGCCTGGGCCCTTGCCGAGGGTGCCCACCTGGCGCCTAGCGTGGGCTCGGAGCTCCTCCGCCGTGCTCTTGCCTGCTGCCTTCGCCGAAGGCGCTGCGCCAGGCTGCGCTGGCGCCTCGGCCGCGCCAGGCTGTGGGCTGCCTTCGGCGGCCGCCGCTCCTGCGCCTGGCTGCGTGGGCGGGGCCGACCCTGCCGCCTCTGGCGTTGCAGACTCCTGGCGGCGCCTCTTCGACTGCAAGCGGGACTTGAGCTCCTCGTGCTCCTTCTTGTACTGCTCAGCATTCTTCTTGAGGTCTCCAAACAACGCCTTCGCGAGCGACTGGAACTGCTCCTTGAGCTGAACCTCACGCTTGCGCGCCTCCTCCTTGTCTGTCTCCTCGACGTCCACGAACTCCGCCAGGCCGAACAGGTCATCTCCGCACGAGAGAGTCCACTCCTGCTTCCCCTCCAGCATGGCCTCCAAGCTGAGAGTCGGCTGCGCCTGCGTGGCGTCCACGGGCGGCACGACCACGGCGTGCAGCTCCTTGATCGCCTCCGTGTAGATGGCCTCCTGCTTCTCGATCTGGTCCAAGAGCTTGGTGACCTTTACCTCCTGCTCAGTGACCTGCTTCTGTAGCTTCTCCAGATGGCTGGACTCAGCGCTGAGGTCCTTCTCCAGCTGCTTGATGCACTTGTGTGCCTGATCTGCTCTGACCTGCGGCGCCACGTGCTGCTTGTCCCTGATGGCCAGCACCTGCTGGTAGTACTCGACCATCTGGGTGTTGTTGCTCTTCTCGCCAAGCTGCACCAGCTGCTGCAGTTCTGGCACCGTGAGCTCTGGCACTGGGTCTGAGCACGCCTGAACGAGGCCTGGTTGGACGGGATGACCGTGCTGAGGAGCGCGACCACCAAGCCCAGGCGGAGCACCCAGGTCTCGACCTTTGCCCTTGGGCTTCTTGTACTGGCCCATCTTCCAGTGCCGCTCGCAGTGCTTGCACCATTGCTCATTGATGGGTGTCTTGCCGCACCCGCAGTGCATACACTTCCAGACAGACGCGTCATGCCAGCCGCCTGCCATCGCGCGTCTCTTCGGAAGAACTGCGAGGCCGTCGAAATCTTCGTGTGGGTGTGGCCCTCACCCTGGGCCAGGGCTTCTGATCGAGGGTCGCGCGGGTCCCTAGACCACTTGAGCCCCAACCCCAGGGAAGGCGAAGGCCCCAGGCAACGGCTTGAGCCATCTCCTCCTCCGCCTCCGCCTCCGCCTCCGCCTCCGCCTCCGCCTCCGCCTCCGCCTTCGCCTCCGCCTCCGCCTCCGCCTCCGCCCGCCTCCGCCTCCGCCTCCGCCCGCCTCCGCCTCCGCCTCCGCCTCCTCCTCCTCCTCCTCCTCCTCCTCCTCCTCCTCCTCCTCCTCCTCCTCCTCCTCCTCCTCCTCTTGCATGGTGGCACAAGTCGCCATAACGGCATCCCCATTTAGGCCTTTCTGCTAGCGCAGCCTTCCCCTGCCTCGCCGCCGACGCAACAAATTGTTCAATGTTCCCGACCCCCCCCCTACACCGGCGATGGAAGGCAAGTCGGGGCCTTCGGGTTGGGCTGGGGTGGTTTGGTGGGCCGTCCCCCATCAACGTTGTCATCACGATCCCACATGACTTCCACTTCCACGATCCCACATGACTTCCAACGTGATCATCCTACTACGCACTCCCTCGTCGGACCTGATGGCAGACTCCTGCCAGAAGGCGCAACAGGAACCCCGCCCACCCCCTCGAAGGGGGGGTGGGGCAGTTCGCCCCCCCCCCCCCCTCCCCCTTGCACCTCGGGGCAGCTCGGGAGGGACACGTCGACCACGAATCGGCGATGCAGCGCCTGTGGATCGGAGATGAGCCCCCGATAGCGAGTCCGCACGTCGCTGGGCGGGGTGAGCTGTGGGCGATTGAGGGTCGATGCACCCCCCCCCCTTGAGAGGGGGGTACATTTGTCAGGATTTGGAGGCGGATCCAGCCGTGACGACGAAGAAGCAAAACACGCTATAAACATAAACGTTTGGCGCTCCGCGCGGATTTCTTGGATCTGCGCAGGACCCCCTCCCTGGCGCGCCAGCGCGGATGCAAAAAATCCGCGCGGAGCGCCAACATTTTATGTTCATGGCGTTGTTTCTTCTTCGAGAGCTCCTGGAGGCCTGAAAGTAAGCGAAGAACGTGCAAACATCACGGTCCTCGAACCTCGATCTTCCACTGGCAAAACTTCTAGGCCCCCCCCCCACCGCCTCCTCATCCCTTACGCCGCCTGCATCTTCAGTTGCGCCATCCTGGACAACATCGGGGGTCCATCCTGACCAGAAGTTCGCAGCAACCAGCCGTGGCGACGAGAAGCCTCCTGGAAGAGCGAAACAATCCGAAAACGCTAAACAAAGTCGATCGTCGTGGTCGTGGTCGTGGTCGTGGTCGTGGTCGCGGTCGTGGTCGCGTTCGTAGTCGTGGTCGTGGTCGTGGTCGCGGTCATTGTCGTGGTCGTGGTCATGGTCGTCGTCGCCACGGCTCCTCCATCTTCAGCGACGGCACCTTGGACAGCTGCTCCCCGGAGAGGCCCTGACCACGCGCCCCTCCTCCACGCCGCCCTTGTCCTCGATCCCCCGCCCTCGTCCCCTCGGCCTGGCGCGGCTGTGCGCAAGAGGGTGGCCACTCGACGAGAGTGACCTCTGGTGCGCGGCCTGTCGATCGCTGCGCGTGGTGCGGCAGTGGCCAGGCCTGCGATGGATCGAGTCGCGATAGCGGGCCCGATCGGAGACGGATCGGATCGCCAGCAACTCGTCCCGAAAGCTAACCGACTGGAAGCCGGGTCGCCGCGCCCAGCTCCAGCTGGCCCCAGCCGATGCTGGTGAAGCGCGCCGAATCGGAATCGCGGTCCCAGCCGGCGAACCGAATCGCATCGGACTGTGGGCGGCCCTGGTGGCGGCGGGGGTGTTCGAGCTTGGCCCCCCGGGGCCCCCAAAAAGTGTGGCGACCACACCGTGTGGTGCGTCAGCGGAGATTCGTGGTCGCCGCACGGCTTTGGGACTCGGGCCGTTTTCCGAAGAAGTCTCAGGCGACCGGGGCCTCCAGGGTCCCAAAATCATGCGGTGACTGACCGTGCGGAGAGGTTGGGCATTGGGCAATTTCGCGAGCAGGGCGGAAATCCCCGCCCTACTTGTTAAGCTCCTTTGACGCCGTGTTCCGCCCTTTCCTTTGCCGTTGCTGTTCCCGCCATACCTTTGCGGAAATATCCGCCTTACCTCTCTGACGCGGACATTCCCGCACTACTGCCCAAGATCCCTTGATGTCGCCTGCCGCCGTGTAATAACTACTTTGCCGTTGCTGCATCCGCCGTTCCTTTGCGGAAACATCCGCGCGACTTTTCCGAGGCGGGCATTTCCGCCCCACGTTTTCGCATCCTTGTGGGGTGCGTTTCCGACACCCGATGAGCCTCAGAACGCGTGCTAGCGCCAACGTGCGTTTGTCCACCAGAGCCCTCCAGGACGACGCAAGCCGGTGTAGCGAGAACCGACACAGGCTTCGCGCTATCGGTGAAGCTGAGCGGGGCAGACACACGTCTCGCATTTGTGGTGGTCAACGGCAGCTTGGGTCCAAGACGCGGTGGGGGCAGCCGAAAGTCGCCTCGGGGCGGGGAAGAACGGGCGCGAAGGGGGAGAGGAGATCGTGGGCGGCGGAGCGTGCTGGGACACAAAAGCTGGGAGCGGCAAGGTGGACCTGCGTTCCAGGGTGCGGCAAGTCCATGCGATGCCGGGGGTCTCAGCTCCGAGGCGGCTGCGCGAGCAAGTCATGCGAAGGAGTGTCCAGGTTGCAAGGGCACCACATGGTTCCAAAAACACTACCACACACACGTCGCCAAAGTGCAATCCAAGGGGTGTGACCGACAAGCAACCTAGGGCAGCAAGCCCTTACGGTCCAATGGGTCCAGGGTCAGAGCCAGGCTGGTACCGGCCAGAGGACGGACGCATGGAGTCCGTGCGCGACGCGCATACCAGGAGGTGGGCACGACGCAAAAGGAGCGAGGCCGAAGGGGCAGAAACCTCCGGGACGTGGAGAGATCCCCCGTGATCGCTGCGTCGTCCTGCTCCCCGTGAGGCAGCAGACTGGCGCCGGGCAGAGCCGCGCCGCGCCGGTGCCGCGGGGGCGGCCCCGCGGGCGCCGGGGCCGCCGAGGCGGCAGGGCCCGCGGGAGCGACGGCGCGGGGCGCCCGCAGGCGGAGAGGAGTCAAGGGGCCCAAGGACACGCAAATGAATACACACAAATAACAGGATTCCCCCTATTTTCCAATGTTTTCGGGGTGTCTGTCTGTCCCCCCCACTCCCCATGTCTTCCCATGTTTTCTGGGGAACCGAGGATTCATTGTGGCTGTGTGTTTTTTCCCCCGCGGAAGGAGGCACGGCAGGGAGGCACCGCATCGACGGCGCGGGAGCGACGAGAGGGGCAGAACAGAAACCCGAGCGACGGCGGGAGACCAAGGGCCGGGGCGCGTGCACACGCAGGCACTGCTCCGGGTCCCGGCGCGCAGCGAGAGCGAGGAACAGGCTGGGCACGCGGGCCCGGGACGGCAGCGGCCGCGAGGCCCACATGGCACCGGGCAGGTCGCGGGCATGGAGAATCAGAAGCGGCAGTGGCCGGCGGCCGGGGGCCCAAAGATCCGACGTCGTGATTTTTTCAATACCGGGCCCCCGGAGGTCTCGACCCCTTCCCCAGGACCGGTTTTTCATCCTGAGTCGTTTTTTGACGGTCCCGGGGCCCGGCGAGGGCCCTCAGAGGCCGAAAATAGCGAAAAACCTCCCGTCGTAATTTTTTCACGACTCGAGGAGGTCTGGGGTGGCCGGCGGCCGGGGGCGCGCGGCTCAGCGCACGGAGAGCGCCGAAGGGCTGCGCGGCCACGGGTGGCCGACTGCCGGCGGGGCCAAGGCCGCCGAGGCCCTGGCGGGCCGCGGCGGCAGCCGCGAGGCCGGAGCCCCTGTCGGGCGACGCAGGCCGGGGGTTATGGGTCGGGCACGTGCCCCTACATGACGGAGTTTGGACGAAGAGCGAAAAGTACGCCAAAGATATTCACAAGCTGCCAAAAAATGTTCAAAGAATCGCCCCCAGACTATCATCTTTGCCATTGTCGGATCTTCCTCCCGTGGAGGGACAGGCCCGCCTTCGTCCCAGCCTGGCGCAGCAGGCCTCCTGGCAGCTGGCGCGGCAGGCTTGCCCCAAGGCCGTCCTCCACCTCGCCGACCCACAAATCTCGATGTCCAGCTCCGGCGGGATCGCAGCAGGCCTCCCGGCAGCAGCTGGCGCGGCAGGCTTGCCCCAAGGCCGTCCTCCGCCTCGCCGACCCACAAATCTCGATGCCCAGCTCCGGCGGGATCGCAGCAGGCCTCCCGGCAGCTGGCGCGGTATAGGCTTGCTCCAAGGCCGTGCCCTCCGCCTCGCCGACCCACAAATCTCGATGTCCAGCTCCGGGAGGCGGCAGCGCCGATCCGCCAGCACCTCGAGCGAGGCGACCGTGGGGCCCCCCCCGCGGCGTGGCGGCAGGCGCCCTCGGGGCTGCGCAGGGAGCCGCGCGGGCAGCCCGGGCACCAGAACTGGATCAGGCCCTGCCCGGGCCAGGGCTCGCCATCGCTCGGGCGTCCATTCCCCGTGCCTTTTTTTCGGTTTCGTGCGTGCGCTTTTTGGCATTTCGCAAGAGGACCCCAAATGCTCCCCGATGGTCCCCGCCGAGAAAACATGCACGCGTCCGAGCGATGCCGAGAGAAGCACGTGTCTCTTCGGTTATCCAGGTCGGCGTCAATTAATCAGCGGCGGTCCAGGTGGCGGGGGGGGCATCAGGTCCTTGGCGGCGCATGAACGACCGCCCCCGATGTAGACCAACTTCGCTGTGCTAGCACCCGCTGGCCGGAGCCCCGCAGGTCGGATCCCATGATGTCCTATGATAGGGTGCGTACTGCACAGTCGAACATGGCCAGCGCGCCCAGGTCGGCAAGAACGAGGAACTCCTCTAGGAGCATCAGGGTGGCCTCCAGGGGGCACTTTGCCTCGAGTGGCTGCGACCAGGCGCCCTGACAGCCCTGCTCCTGGGCCTGCCCGTGGTGGTGGGCCGCCGAATCCAGGTTGGCTGTCGCCCAGATGAGCTGCTCCAGTAAAGGGAAATTAGGACACACAAATAAATACACACAAATAAAAATAGTCCTCATATTTTCCCATATTTTCCCATATTTTCCTGGGAATCGAGGATTAATTGTGTCTGTGTGTTTTTTTCCCTCCTGATCCAGGGCAGCCTGCAGCTCGCGGACGCGCGGGCCTGACAGCCCGTAGGCAGCTCCGAGCTCGTCCCTGACTACCCAGTCGGGCGGGCGAGGGGTGGCAGAAACCCAGTATGGCCTCCAGGATGTCACCAAGCCCCTCGGCGTCCCCATGTGAGAAGAGGCATGTGCGTGGCTCCCGCTGCGTAAAAAAGCTCATCGGCAGGAAGGCGCGCAACCTAAGGACGTCGAGCGGTGGGCCAATGCGGTTTTGAGCTCGCCTGCAAGCTTGATCTGCCCTTGAAATCCACGTCCGGCCCAGAAGGCCTGGAAGTACCCAGGAGGGGGTCCCTATGCCTTTGGCATCGGCACGTGAGCGACGATTAACAAGGGGTCTTGCGCGAGATGACGCAGCGACCTTACGAGGCAGCTTGCGCGGGCCGCCAACCGGTCCGCCACGCTGGAAGCGAGGGCGCTTAAGCGCGACCTCACGCCGGCAGCTTACGCGCGAATGCCGGCGCAGCCGACCCCGCTTCTTTGGCGCCGCCCAAGCGGCGACACTCCACACCTCGCGCCGCATTCTCGTGGCTCCAGTCGGGATGCAGCGGTCGGCGATGCTTGCTCCACGCTTTTGGCAGGCCAGGCCCATCCATATGCGGGCAGGGAGCAGGCTGCCGCCAACCTCCAGGGCCTGGGCAGAGCGCGATCCCAGCCTCACGACCCTGAGCAGGGCTGCCATGGCGGCCTTGCACACCAGGCTACCCGCGTTTAGGCGCAGAAGAGGGCTGAACAGGAAGCCGTTTCAGCTCCAGCCCTGTCCTGCATGGCCGGGTCCCGTGGCTGGTCGGCTGCCCCGTACTCATGCGGGTGCAGTCCAAGTGCACACAATAGTACCGGGGCCAGGGCGACACACATGAGTAGGGGGCCACATGCGAACCCTACCCCTACCCCCCGAGATTTCTGAAGGGGAGGCTGGGGTTCACTTCGTTCGGGAGCTCTCGAGCGAAGTGAACCCCACCCTCCCCCTTAGAAATCGTGGGGGGTAGGGGTAGGGTTCGCATGTGGCCCCCGAATGAGGACCCGAGCGGTGAACGTCCACACTAGGCTAACACACGTCCAGAGGATGCTGGAGACACAATTTCGCATCGGGAAACCAACCGAAGTATAGGGCGGATCGGGAGCCAGACCTCCGCGCTGGACCCTGCTGCCCTGGCGCGCAGAGGAGGCGCCGGCAGGGGGTCCCGGCGCACGACCCGAGAGAAATCCCCGCGGACTTCTGCACAGCGCGCTTCCGCGGCGCCCCCGGCGGCACGCTATGCCGCCTTGCAAGCGGATGGCGTGTCGCTCCGCTCCGCGGCCGGGAAAGGCTCGGGAAGGCTCGGGACATCAACACCCGGGGAGCGGGAAGCGGATGGCGCGTCGCGCCGAAGCGTGGTGGTGGGCCAGAGCCAGCGAAGCGGCAGGCTATCCCAAAGGTTCCCGTTTGCTCGGCGCGTGTCACCACGAAGCTGTCGACCCCTGCTCCCGCAACGTTCGGGGAGGTGGTGCGTTGAGGAGCAGCAGCGGGGGCAGGGAGGACATTGGACAGAAAAAATAGAAAGGAGGGAGACGAGGGAGAGGAGAAGGAAAAGGAGACGAGAAGACGGCAGAGGAACACGAGAAGCAGCAACACCAGAACCTGACGCAGCAACAATTAACACAATTGTGCGGACGGAGTGGAAGCGCGGGGAGGGAGGCTCTCGGGAGCATTACAACCGAAGCATCTCCATTGGCAGACACCTCTCCAAAACAGAGAGAGAGAGAGAGAGAATGAGAGAGAAAGAGAGAGAGAGAGAGAGAAACAACAAAAAATACAAATATAAAGATAGACAAACAAGTAATGCCACAAGAGCGTTGGTCAAGAACATGACCTCTTTCGACGAAGAACCAAGGCCCCGTGGATATGCAGACAGTTCCACTAAGGAGAGCCCGAGCACACTAGGGTTGTTTACGACCTCTGTGCCGGCGTGCAGAGAGACAGGCAGACAGACAGACAGACAGACAGACTGACAGATTGACAGACAGACAGACAGACAGACAGACGGACGGACGGACGGACGGACGGACGGACAGACACACAGACAGGCAGGCAGGCAGGCAGGCAGGCAGGCAGGCAGGCAGACAGTCAGACAGCCGGACAGAGAGACGCACACGCAACAGGCGACGGACATGCAGGCATGCAGACACGCCGAAGGAGGCCGAGGGAGGGGGAGCGCAGGAAGGGACAGGGCAGGCGAGAGAAGGGTGCAGGGAGCGGAGAGGAAAGAGGAGAGGAGAGGAGAGAGGCGAGGCGAGGCGAGGAGAGGAGCGGAGAGAAGGAGGAGCGAGGAGGGGACGAGGAGGTGCGCAGGGACGGGGCAGGGAGAGGGCGAGGAGGGTGCAGCAGTCGCCCTCTGCCACGCGGAGCGCGGGAGCCAGGGAACGGAACTCACCCTGGCCACGTCGAGCCACGGCACGGGCCCGGAAGCCCGAAAGCCCGAGCCCCTCCCAAGCCCCGGGCGGCCATGCTCTGCGCCCTGACCAGGCGCGGAGGGGGGAGGGCTGAGGATTGGAGGGGGAGGGGAGGATTGGAGGGGGGAGGGGGAGGGGGAGGGAGGATTTGGAGGGGGAGGGGGGAGGGTTGAGGATGGGAGGGGGAGGGTTGAGGATTGGGAGGGGGAGGATTGATGAGGATTGGAGGGGGAGGGGGGGGGGGAAGAGGGGAGAGCAGAGGCAGCAGAGGCAGCGGAGGGAGGGGGCAGGTTCGGCGGCGGGGAGGGGGAGAGAGAGAGAGGCAGGAGACGAAGGAGGAGGGAGAGGGGGAGGGAGGGAGGGAGGTGGCAGGGAGGGGGGAAGGGGGGAGGGCGAGGAGGGGGACAAAAGGAGGGGGAGGCGGGGGAGGGGGCAGGAGAGGGATGGGGAGAGAGAAAGAGAGAGAGAGAGAGAAAAACAAAAACAGAGAGAGAGAGAGAGATTCCTCCCCCTCCTCCTCCTCCTCCTCCTCCTCCTCCTCCTCCTCCTTACATATAATTTCTCCATGTCGCACCCCGAGGCCAGTTTTTTGGGCGGGCCGGGCGTTCCGCCTGAGATTTCCTTACCTTTCATGATTCTGAAATCTTAAAAGTGACAACAGCTTCACAGATGGAGGGTGGATCGTTTTCAAAATGTGGGTCTCGCCTTAACGCCGCGCACATTCTTTGTAAACGTTTGCAAGAGTTTCACGGGTTAAGGGCGGTTCCTTTCCAAAATGTGGCTCTCGCCTTGGCACCGCGCACATCCGTTTTAAACATGTGCCTGATTTTCGCGGATTGAGGGCGGTTCCTTTTCAAAATGCGGCTCTCGCCTTAGCCCCGCGCACATTCGTTCGAACAAATTGCAAGAGTTTCACGGACTCCCATGATCAATGTACCAGAAATTTTGTTTGGAGAGATTCAGGATTATGTGGGTGCAACAATTCGACTCGCGGTGTTGAAGCTTGAAAATGGCATTCTGGCACGAGTCCGGATCGTCAAGACGCAGTAGCCAAGTTGACACGTGGCGTTGAAATCCCGAGAACAATGTTTGAACATGCTTCAGGATCTTCAAACGGTTGTCTTCCGACGAGGTAGTTCCCCAATGGAAATGATGGAGGAGGAGGAGGACGGGTCGCCTAAGCCCTTCGGAGAAACCCTCCACACACACACCCTCGTCGTCCACGATGACTTCGACCGTCAAGGCGGATGGGGCCCACCCCTGCGGCATCACGTTTTTTTTTGCCCACGACATGCCGAACATCGGTATTCACTACAATCCCGACGCTAGTCCAGACAGACATGCCGTCCACACGATCAGTTCTGAGCATGTGGCTAGGCTGGCCCTCCGCGCTCAAAAACGTCCAAACCCCCCCGTCTGGTATGGGGCTGGTGGATTCTGATTTTGAGCCCACGGCCCAAAGAACCGCAAAGAGACAAGTCCTGCTACTACCGCAACTCCCCCGGCGGAGTAGCAATAGTTGGATACATCAGCAGCTTCACGGCTCACATCCGTGGCGTACCAGTTCTCAAAGATCTGGTACTGCAGCCTCGGCGGCATTTTCTGTGCGCCACCGACGCGCTGGAAACAGTCGTACAAATGCCGCTGCGACATGCTCCGGTGCACGCGAGGCACCTTGTTGAACAAGCAGGTGAAGCCGCACTTTGCCAGGGCCGCCCGGTTCTCTTTCCTGGCACACCGGGTGGCCTCGTCGGACTCCACCTTCCAGATGTCTATGTTGATGGGCCTGTTTTCCTCTACCACCGCCATAAGTTGGAGGGGGGGGAGGAGGAGGAGGAGGAGGAGGAGGAGGAGGAGAGGAGGAGGGAGGAGGAGGAGGAGGAGGAGGAGGAGGAGGAGGAGGAGGAGGAGGAGGAGGAGGATGAGGATGAGGAGGAGGAGGAGGAGGAGGACGACGACGACGACGAAGAGGAGGACGAGGAGGAGGACGAGGAGGAGGAGGAGGAGGAGGAGGAGGAGGAGGAGGAGCAGGACCCCCTTCCCCTCCAACTTATGGTGGTGGTGGTGGAAAGCAGGCCCATCATATGTTCTTCTTCTTCGACCAGCCGAGGCCCTCTGCCAGCTCTCGCTCGAGGCTCTGCCTCGCAGCCACGAAGTGGTCCGTGTCCGCCAGGTGCTTGCTTCGCTCGTCCAGCATGCCTCGGACCCTGTCGCTGAGCACCTTGTGGCAGGGCTGGACCTCAACGCTGTTTTTCGTGTTGTTTTCGTTTTGTTTTTCGTTTTGCTCTACCTGTTTTCCTGTACCCCCCTCCCAGAAGGAAAAACGAAACAGGTCCGGCAAAACGGCGTTTCGGTCCAGCCCTGCCTTGTGGTCGAACTCCAGGGTCTCCTCCGCCACCGGCATGGGCAGCGTGGACCTCTGCGCCTTGTCCGCTGGCCGTGCAGCAGGCACAGGTGGAGAGCCCTCGGCTTTTCAAAAGCCCTCAACTGCATGGGATCAGGTCGGGCATGTCCCCCTGCAGGGGTAGCTCGGACGACAAATTACAACTATCCCCCCAAAAATATTCATACGTATTGCACAAATGCTCCAAACATGGCCCCTCGGACCACTTCTGGACGAGTTTTGAAGGTTCCTCCTGTAGAGGGACGGGCCCGACTTCAGCACGGGATTAGAGCAGGCGCAGATGCCCCAAACACCCAAACCTCGCGAACCGTCCCGCGCGCTCCGGAGCGCCTCGCGCGGTTTGCCGCGCCCCTGCCGCGCAGGCCCAGGAACCGCGGCTCGACGTTCGGACTCCCACGTGCCCCAGGATGGTCTCCCCGCCCAGCCTTGGGGCCCTCTTAGGGGGGTCCCTTGGGCCGCTTCGGGGGCCTCAGGGAGGCACCAGGAGCGGCCCCGGAGGCTCCCAGGAGGGTCCCGAGGGGCCTCCAAGACGGCTCCGAGGTGGGCCCACGCAAAAGTGAGCCGCGAACGGACAGAAGGAAGCCTTCCCTCCAAGAAAAGCCAGACACCCCGAGACGCCTCCAAGGGGCCCTCGAGTCCCCCAAGAGTCTCCCAAGAGGGCTCAAGAGTCGCCCAAGTGGCCCCGAAGCGGATTCCCAGGAGACCCCAAGACGAGTCTTCCAAGAGGCCTCTGGTCCGCGATCCAGACATGCATGCGGGATGTGCCGAAGGCCACTCGATAGTGGTTCTTACAGACATTCAGCGCCGAGCTGAAGTGCTCTTTGATCGCCTGATCGTTGTCCACGGCAAGCTTGGTCAAACGACGGGCAATGATATTTGTCTCGACGTTATCCTTAGATATGCTATACTGCTCTGTGCTCCACATCCACCGCCCCTGAGCCAAATTTCCGTGAAACGCCTCCCAGCAGCTCGCTCGCAAGTGCTCTTTCAGTTCTTTCATCTTAGCTTTCCCCAGTAAGTGAGTTTGCCTGACAGCGATCTCCCTTTCCACAGCTCCATACGCAGCGTCTTCGGCCATTGCGAACACCTCACTGATCCTTTGCTTGTTTGCAGTGGCGCGCTTCAAATGGATATCAGTGAGTCGTCTGTCCAACTGTTGTAAAGGATCCGAGGCCAACCGCTCCTGTGGATCCTCGCTCAGGAAAGGCCACTGAACTGCAAAATAAAACTGTGATGGCGGGCCTTCTTCTTTGAACCCTGCGATCTTCTGGGAGAACCTCTCCCTGGCAGCCTGCATCTCAACCTTCGAACGCTCCTCTAACAACGGAGGGTCTTCCGGTAACTCCTTGGATGCCAGACTGTCCGATACTTCCTTTTCGGCCGCCGCTATAGAATCATGCACCCAGTTGAACACCCGTCCGTGGTAAGCCTTCTTCTTCTTTTCAAACGCGGGGGTCATGCGTCTGTGTAACTCGACTTCGTCAGGCTGGGCGATGAAGTCGTGGAGCAGGTCTGCGTAGAATCGCACCGCCTTGCCCCGAGCCTCCTCCACCTGCGTGTTGAACACGCTCAGCCGCACCAGGTCCTCCTGAGTGTCTATGGAATCCAGCAGGTCAGAGAACCACCTCTCGGCGTCCTGCAACGAGATCTCGGCCACATGCTGCGTCCACGTGGCCCAGAGCGAGGGGAGCTCGTGGAACATCCCCCTCCGCAGCGCCTGCACCATGAAGCCGAGGCACCTCCCCAGAGTCTGCCCGGTCATAGCCTTGCCCTCGAAGGTGCGAGCAGTGAGTCTGTGGAGAATATGGTGCCGAGGGGGACGAGCAGGAGGAGGACAGGAGGAGGAGGGGGAGGAGGAGGAGGAGGAGGAGGAGGAGGAGGAGGAGGAGGAAGAGGAGGAGGAGGAGGAGGAGGAGGAGGAGGAGGAGGAGGAGGGGGAGGACAAAATCCGCCCTGGCTTCTTCCACGACGCGGGGGAGCCCGGGGAAGAAGGGGGGAGCAGGAGGGGCAGGAGGACCGCAACGCCGCGAGCTCGTCCCGGAACTCCGGCGTCAGGTGGTCCCAGCTCATCCTGGAGAGGTCCTGCAGGTCGGCCCGGGAGGTCGCTGGCAGGAACAGGGTGTGAACCTCTCCGCTCACAGGAGGCATCATGCGTCCACGCCCGCAAAGCCGCTGGAGTCCCGGCCTGGCCCCTGGCAGGCGGTGGATGTGAGCATTGCCCCGCCCTCTGGGGGCGGGCCGATGTCCAGATCCACCACTCATCGAGAGAGGGCCTCGAGATCCCAGGGCACGGGCTCCGAGGCAGAGGAGGTGGGAGCATAGGAATCCTGGCGGTGGGACCTTCAGCTCGCTGTACAGCTTGGAGACGACAAGGAGCAGGAGTGGCACACCGACCCCCCTCGAAGGAAGCGGGCGAAGTGATACGGGAGGAGGAGGAGGAGGAGGAGGAGAAGCAGGAGGGCCAAGACCAAGACCAGGAAACGCCTGGACCAGGCCAGACAGATGGAACAACAAAATCAGAGGACCTCAAAAAGGTTGCTGCGTTGAGCATCGCCGCGGCATCGCCGAGCAAATCCAGAGCATCCTAGGGCCCCCCGCTGAGAAGAGTCGGAGGAGGAGAAGGAGGAAGATGAGGAGGAGGAGGAGGAGGAGGAGGAGGAGGAGGAGGAGGAGGAGGATCGAGGATAGTAGTTTTCGCATGCTTCGGGACTTTATGTGATTGTCTTGTGGAGGGGAGGAGGGAGGAGGAGGAGGAGGAGGAGGGAGGAAGAGGAGGAAGCGGAGGAGGAGGAGGAGGAGGAGGAGGAGGAGGAGGAAAATCGATGATGGAGGTTTGGGGCCGTGTTGGCCCCTTTCTTGGTCCTCCTGGAGCGCCCTCATAGGCACGGCTGGTCCACCTCAGGACTCAAACCAGAGCACACCGATACAGGTTCCGGGGGGGGGGCTACATTTCTGGAGACTCGAAATGCTTGCACCATATTCTGTTGATTGCCATTTTCCCAGAACTCCGACGGCGCGACATGTCTGCGACGTCGACCCCCAGAGGTCTGCACCTGTGATTACCCCCACAGACCGCCGCTGGTTCACACCTGGCCGTTTTACTGTAATTTTTAGCGCTTCGCTGCAGGGCTCGGACGAAGAGGACAAAAACCACAGGAGAGCCCCACAAGGGGGGGACGGGAAGCCCTCGAGCGCCCAGTCCGGCAGCCTCTCTGGCAGCCGCTTCGCCCGCGTCTCGCTCACGATTCCTCAGCGAAAACTGCTCTCGCCTCAATGCTGGACACAAGTTTGGTCCAGACAGCCACCACCATGTGATAAAAAAAAGGTGCACATGGTCCTGCCATCGCCTGGAGCTGATTACATCTTTACTTCGGATGGCCATGATCCCTGTTGAAGCATACACTACGGTGCACATGGCCGTGCTCTCGCCTCAGTGACGGCTACATTGCTGGTCCAGACGGACACGATTCCTTGGCTTGGACAGTAGTTCTTCAAGGTGCACGTGGCCGAGCTCTCACCCCTGTCCCCGCTGCTCTCAACCCCCGTCCCGCCTCCTCCCCTTTGCTGCTGTCAGGATGCGTTGCTCGGGTAATTTGACGGTCCGGAGGCCCGGCGGAGGCCCCGAGAGGAACGAAACAACCGAAAGGCTATCGTCCCGATGTCTCCCCGACGAGAGGAAGTGGGGTCCGGAGAAGCACTGCCCTCGCAGCGGGGCCGTTACCAGACGGGCCGGGACAGAGATGCAAGCCCCTGGAAAGGGGGCCGAGATCGCAGGGGGCCATCGCCTCGAAGAGGTCGAGCTGCCAGCCATGGGGGCAGCAGGGGCAGGGCGCCCTCGGGACCACAGCGCGGTCATCCTCGCACTCTCGCCTGCTCTCGCGCCGCCCACCGGTCGAAGATCCGCAGAGCGTGTGTTAGCGCCAACGTGTGCTTGTTCACCGAAGCCCTTCTATACGACGCAGGCGTTGCAGCGAGGGCCGACACAAACTGCGTGTTATCGGTGGACCTCAACGGGCTACATACACGCACATACTGGGCTAACGCACGTCCTGAAGATGACCAAACCGAGCACAAGTTTTACGGCCCCAACCCCGAGGCGCGTGCGGCGGGCTGGAGGAGGACGAGGGCGGGGTGGGTGTACGTCTCTGGCTCCCTGGAGGAAGTAGCCGTCCTCGTCCAGGTCCACGCCGTCGTCCGAGGCGTCGAGCTTCGGCAACCTCGACAAGTAGGACCGGAGCCACGCCGTAGCCGCGTCCCCACGCTGGTACTGCTCGGGGATCTCCTGGAAGAAGTCTTCTACAACCCACGTCAGCGGGGGGAAATTCCTGCGGGGACGCGCCAACCCGGATCAGCGCTAACCTGGGGTGAGCTCAGGCCACGCCGGACATGGGCCAGGCTGACCCAGCCCTGGCTCCTGATCCGCCGTACTTTGGATGATTTTCCGGCCTAAAATTGTGTCGGAAATCGACGCCAAAGGAGCCTCAAGGGCGGAAATCGACGCTCAAAGGGGCCTTAAAAGTAGGGCGGAAATTTCCGCCCTACTTTCGAAATCGCCCAAAGTAGGGCGGATCAGGAGTCAGGGAGGATAGCGCCTGCTTCGGCGCCCGCTACCATGCTTGTCTTGCTTTCTCCCCGACGCCCTGCGTGCCTACTCTCCGACGCCTGCTCCGGCCCGTGCTCCGACGCTCGGTCTGGCACAACATCGAGCAGGTGGGTGCCGAAGACCACGCCAGCACAAACCCACGTCTGATCCCACCCACTTGCCCACTTCGTGCTCCGAGGCTGTGCTAGCTTTATGCTTCGTTTCAGTGTCTGTCAGCTCAATCATCTGGTCGTGCCTGCTGTTGCTCACCAACGCGTGATGTTGAATGCTATTCCAGGGTTGCTGATTGTTTCCAAGCGCGCTGTGCGCTCCTACCTCCACTCGCATACCCACTACGCTACCGAGTGGCTTGGACGAGAACTGCATGTGCCAGCGGCTTTTGTGTACAACGACGCTGCTTATCTTGCTTTGCCTCATACGCCCTGCGTTCCAACTCTCCGACGCATGCTCCAACCTCTGCTCCGACGCCCGGTCCGGCACAACATCGATCAAGTGGTTGTATGGCTTTACGCCGGCACGCCGCAATCTGCTCCCGCCGACTTACGCACTTCGTGCTTCAAGGTTGTTGTAGCTCTATGCTTCGTTGCAACGTCTGTCAGGATAATGGTCTGGTCGTGCCTGCTTTTGCTCTTCAACCACCATCACGCGTGCCACTGAATACTGCCAGGTTTGCTCATCACTTCCAAACGCACCGTGCGCTCCTACCTCCACCTGCATACCGACTACACACTGATGGGTGAGAATTGCATGTGCCAGCGGCCGAAGGGCCTGGCGACGCCGTCTTCACCTACCTTCGTGTCGCTTGCAGCTGACATGCACAACCGCAAATGTGAGTCTAGCTCTGCAATGAAGTTCGCGCTGACGCTTCGACCTTTCAGATGTACCAGCGCCTGTTCCGACGCCATCTCCCGTGCTTGCCTTGCTTCGTCGCCCGCGCCCTGCGTTCCTACTCTGCGGCGCCTGTTCCGACCCCTCTTCCGACGCCCCGTCCGGCACGACACCGATCAAGCGGGTGTATGGCGCTATGCCGGCACACTGCAGGTCTGTTCCCACCCACTTACGTACGTCGTGCTTTTTGCTTGTCGTAGCTCTATGTTTCGTTCCCTGTGAGGGCAATGATCTGGTCGTGTCTGCTCTTGCTCTTTAATCACCATCACGCGCGACGTTGAAGGCTACCAGGTTTGCTCATTGCTTCCCAACTTGCAGTGCGCTCCTACCTCCACTTGCATACCGACTGCGCTATTGACTGGTTTGGGCGAGAATTGCATGTGCAAGCGGCTTCTGTGTGCGACGACGCTTCGACCTTTCAGATGTCCCCAACGCCTGTTCCGACGCCAACTACCATGCTTGTCTGGCTTTGTCCCCCGCGCCCTGCGTTCCTCTTCCGGCGCCTGCTCCGACCCCTGATCCGACGCCCGGTCCGGCGCAGCATCGATCCACCGTGTGTCTGGCACCGCGCCGGCACGCCTTTAGTCTGATCCCACCCACTTTCGCAGAGCGTGCTTCATGGTTTTCCTACCTTCATACTTCGTTGCAACGTCTGTCATGGCAATGATTTGGTCGAACCTGATTTGGCTCCTTCATCACCATCGCGCATGATGTTGAATGTGACCAGTTTGCTCATTGCCTCCCAACGCGCTGTGCGCTCCTACCTCCATGTGAATACCGACTACGTGAATTACCGAGTGATTGGGACGAGAATTGCACGCGCCAACGGCTTCAGTGCACAACGACACTTCGACCTTTCAGATGTCCCCCATCGACTGTTACACCGTCAGCTACCATACTCGTCTCGCTTTGTCTCCCAAGCGCGCGCATTCCAACGCTCCGACGCCTGCCCCGACCCCTGGTCCGGCACAGCGTCGATTAAGTGGGAATCTGGCACCGCGCCTGCTTGCGCACTTCGTGCTTTATGGTTCTTCTAGTTTTACGCTTCGTTCCAACGCCTGTCAGGGCAATGATCTGGTCTTGCCAGCACGTGCTCTCTAATCACCATCACGCGCGATGTTGAATACTACTAGTTTTTATCATTGCTTCCCAACGCACTGCGCGCCCCTACCTCCATCCGCATACCCACTACGCCACCGATTGGCTTGGACGAGGGTTGTATGTGCCAGCGGCTTCTGTGTACAACGACGCTTAGACCTTTCAAATATCCCCACTGCTTGTTTTGAAGCAGCCATCTACCATGCTTGTCTTGCTTCGTTCCCCATGCCCTGCGTTCCTACACTCCGACGCCTGCTCCGACCCCTGCTCCCACGCCAGGCCTGGCACAGCACCGATCAAGCGGTGTGTGGCACCGCGCCGGCGCTCCTCAAGTCTGATCCCACCCAGTCTGTCAGAGCTGCTCTTGCTCTTTGATCCCGCGTGATGCTGAATGTTATCAGCTTTGCGCATTGCTTCCGAAGCGCTGCGCGCCCCTACCTCCACTCGCATACCGACTGCGCTACCGAGCGGTTTGGGCGAGAATTGCACCTGCCAGCAGCGTCTCTGCACAACGACGATTCGACCTTTCAGATGTCCCCCAGCGCCTGTTCCGATGCCAGCTACCATGCTTGTCCTGCTCTGCCTTCCACGCCCTGCGTTTCTACTCTCCGACGCCTGCTCCGACCCCTGCTCCGACGCCCGGTCTGGCGCAGCGTCGATCAAGCGGGTGTCTGGCACCGCGCTGGCGCGCCCCAAGTCTGATCCTACCCACTTACGCACTTCGTGCTTTGTGGTTGTTCTAGTTTTATGCTTCGTTCCAACGTCTGTAGTGCTCTTGATTTTTAGTCGCCATCAAGCGTGATGTTGAATATTACATACCAGTTTTGCCCGTTGTTCCATAACGAGCGGTGCGCACCTGCCTTCGCTTGTGCACCGACTACGCCACCAAATGGCTTGGACGAGAACTTCATGTGCCAGCGGCTTCTGTGTACAATGACGCATCCAAGTTTCGGACGTCCCCAACGTCTGTTCCGACGCCATTTACCATGCTTGTCTTGTTTTGTCTCCTACGCTTAGGTCGGTCGTGTGCCCCGACAGGCGGATTTTGGTCGAAAAGTAAAACGGACCCCAAGAATGCTCAAACACACTCAAAAATACTCAAAAAATCGTCCCCTGACTATTTGTTGACTATTTTTGAACTCTCCTCCTGTAGAGGGACATGCCCGACTTGATCCTACGCCATGCGTTCCTACTCGCCGACGCCCGCTCCGACCCCTGCTCCGACGCCAGGCCCAGCACAGCATCGATCGAGCGGGTGTCTGGCACCGTGCCGGCACGCCCCGAGTCGGACCCCACCCACCTTGCGAACTTCGTGTTCGATGGTCGTCTAGCCTCACGCTTCGCTCGAACGCCTGTGGGTGCAACGATCTGGTCGTGCCTGCCTCGATCTTTCACTCGCCATCGCTCGGACGTCCATTCCCCGTGCATCTTTCGATTTCGTGTGAGCATTTATCGATACATGATCAAGGATGCTCCTCGATGGTCCTCGCCGAGAAAAAATGCACACGTCCGAGCGATGCCAAGTTAATCATCATCACGCGTGATGCCGAATGTTACCAGCTCTGCTCATTGCTTCCCCACGCGCTGCGCGCTCCTACCTCCAGTCGCACGCCGACTGCGCCACCGAGTGGTGTGGGCGAAGATTGCATGTGCCAGCGGTCTCTGTGCACAACGACGACTCGACCTTGCAGATGTCCCCAGCGCCTGTTCCGACGCAGAGTACCATGCTTGTCCTGCTCTGTCGCCCGCGCCCTGCGTTCCTTCTCGCCGACGCCTGCTCCAACCCCTGCTCCGACGCCACGGTCCAGCACAGCATCGATCAAGCGGGTGGCTGGCACCGCGCTGGCGCGCCCCAAGTCTGAGACCACACACTTACGCACTTCGTGCTTTGTGGTTGGTCTAGCTTTATGCTTCGATCCAACGTCTGTCAAGGCAATGATCTGGACGCGCCTGCTCTTGCTCCTTGATCAGCATCGTGCGTAATGTTGAATGTTACCCATTTTTCTCATTGCTCCCCAACGCGCTGTTCCTTTCTACCTCCACTCGCATACCGACTACGCTACCGGGTGGTGTAGGCGAAAATTGCATGTGCCAGCGGTTTCTGTGCACAACGACGCCTCGACCTTGCAGATGTCCCCAGCGCCGAGTCCGACGCCAGCTACCATGCTTGTCCTGTTTTGCCGCCCTCGCCCTTCCTTCCTACTCTCCGACGCCTGCTCCAACCCCTGCTCCGACGCCCGGCTGGGCGCAGCATGGGTCAGGTGGGTGTCTGGCGCCGCACTGGCGCATCCCAAGTCTGATCCTGCACACCTGCGCACTTCGTGCTACATGGTCGTTCTGGCTTCATGCTTCGCCCCAACGTCTGTCAGGCCAATGATGTGGTCGTACCTGCCCTGGATCTCCAATCGCCATCACGCGTGATGCTGAATTATACCCGTGCTGTATTCCGAAAAGTGTTCTTCGAATAACTGGAGGCCCGAAATGGTGCGGTGACTTCGGACTCCCCGAAGGCCTCACCGCACGGTCAGTCACCACACGGTCTTGGCACCAGTTCCTCGAGACGTCCTCGGAGAGCGACCCGAGTCCCGAAATCCGTGAGGCCACCCCGAATCCCCACCGACTCACCACTTGGTGTGGCCACCGCCCCGCTTGAAGGCCCCCGACATCAGCGCTGACCCCGCCACGACCGCCCGGGGGGCTCCGGACGCTGAGGAACTCCGGCGTCACCACGCCGCTCTGCTCTGCGGAGCTCTTGGTGCGGAAGAGCTGCGCCCGCCTCGCGAGCATCTCGAGCGTGGTCACGGCCTGCTGGTCGATGACTTTCACCGTGTTATACACCAGGTGCGCGCCGATCAGCGACGCGATGGTGAACACCTTGGCATCGTAGGTCTCCGACACGCCCGGACCAAAGAACCCCTCGGAATCGAGCAACCACACCTCCGAACCGTCGCTGGCCCGCATCGTCGTGCGGCAGAGCCAGATGCCCATGGTCTCCGGCGACGTCTTCCGGCCCACGGAGAAGACGTTCGTCTGCCCGACCAGCGCGTTGAGCAAGAAGCTCTTCCCAGAGTGGTAGGGGCCTACGACGGCGACGACCGATATCCTGCCCTTGTGCTGAGATATGGCCTGCAGGGTCTCGGTGTTCGGCACCATCGCCTCATGATCCCTGGTGGGCATCACCACCTGCGCGAGGCAAGAAAAGCTAGAACCGTCGCACGCACTGCGGGCGCGCTTAAGTTCTGCCTGACTTGGCGCCTTCTGGATAGCCCGGAGAAGGGACCGTACCCGAAAAAACGGGAATCCTGGACAAGCCAACGCTGTGTTGCTGGAGGTACGGTTCCGATCACTGTTCGGAATAGGGTGAGGGGTGTACGACTGAAAACAAATGTACATACGTGTGAGCATCTTAGGAGTGAGAGGGCCGAATGGTATTACACTGTCTCTGGATGCGTGGTTGAAGTGGGATTCCGCGGTGAAGATTGTTGTCATGATTCCAATAGTGCAGGTCTGAGCTTCTTGCTATTCGTGTCACGCTTCTGCCTCACTCACCACACCCACCTCCTTCCTCTCATTCATTCGCACTTTCTAGACTGATACTCACTGGGCTCACCCAACCTGACCCCAAAGATACTCAGACCCACTCGAACTTAGTTACTCGTACTCAGACTCCTCACACTCAGACTCACTCAGACTCAACATCCCTCTTAGACCACGGATGTTCCGACTCATCCTTACCCAGACCCACTAATACTCCGACTGGCTCACACCCATACCCACTCATACTCAGATTCACTCACATCCATACTCACTGTCTCGGACGCCCCACACTGAGCTCCTCAGTCAGCCTTCTCACACTCAGAACGACTCAACCTTAGATCGACTCATACTCAGACCCGCTCAGTCACTCGCACTCACACGTCACTCGGACTACTCGTACGCACATTCAAAAGTTTCACAGTCCTAATCATACGCTGATCTCAAACAATCCCATGTGCAGACCCCCATCGCACTCAGACCCACTCGTCTTCGGAGCCGCTCCCACCCAGATGCACTCAGACCAAGACTCACTAACGCCTCAGACTCACCCCCAACTCAACTGTTCATGCTCCGACTTTTCGCGCTCAGACCCGTCCGTACGGCAGGTTCGTGTCGTGTCGACCCGGGCGTTGGTTCCTGACACCGCGGGAATCGTTCAACGTCGACCCATTCTGGGCCGCCGGTCGACACGGCACGAACCTACCGCGCTCAGACCCCACTCCCTCGGGCCTCTCAAGAGGGAGCCACACTGGGGAGGAGGAGGAAGAGGAGGAGGAGGAGGAGGAGGAGGAGGAGGAGGAGGAGGAGGAGGAGGAGGAGGAGGAGGAGGAGGAGGAGGAGGAGGAGGAGGAGGAGGAGGAGGAGGAGGAGGAGGAGGAGGAGAGGAGGAGGAAGAAGAGGAGGAGAGAGGAGGCGGAGGAGGAGGAGGAGGAGAGGAGGAGGCGGAGGAGGAGGAGGAGGAGGAGGAGGAGGAGGAGGAGCAGCAGCAGCAGCAGCAGCAGCAGAAGGAGGAGCCACGGGCCCCTGCGCGCCCAACTATTGCCGGGACCTCCCGGGCAGAACCGGCGCTTCGGCCCATCTCGGGTCCAGGCCACCCGGGCCTCCCCAGGGGTGCTGCGCGGGGCGTCTCGCGCCCAGGGCTGGTGGGGACCGCTCGAGCGAGACGGCCGCCTTGGCCTCTGGGGCCCGTCCCTTCTCTCTGAGGTCCGCGCGGATGTCTCGGATCCGCGCGGGACCTCCGAGTTTTCATTCCGTTCCCCTAGCCTCGATGACTACCTACCAGACCACCCCAACCCAACCCGAAGACCCGAATTTCGGGTTGGGGGGGGTACGGGTTCCATATGTGTTTTCTCGATGTTCCACGACCCCCCCCCCCCCAACTGGAAATCGAGGATAAATTGGGGCCTTCGGGTTGGGTTGGGGTGGTTTGGTGGGTGGTGACTCGAAGCCCCAGGATCCCCACGGTGTGGCAGACATGGCCTTCGGGGCCTCCCGGGGGGGTGCGGACTGGGGCGTGCTCCACGGGCCTGTTCGCGCGCAGTCGGGGGACCTCTCGAGCGACATGGCGGTTCTCTCGCCCGGTATGGGCAGCTGTTTCTCGGAGTCCACGGTCGCCGCGACGTAACACGCATGGCACTTGGGCCTTCCAGGGTTGGGCGTTGCACAGGCCCGTTCGCGAGCAGATCGGGGAGCCTTCTCAAGCCCAGACATCGGGCGTCTCGAAAAAGTAGAGACGGAGGCTTTTCCTAGTTTTCGGCCTCTCGAGGCCCTCGCCGGGCCTCGGGACCGTCAAAAAACGACTCTTGACGTACAACCGGTCCCGGGGAAGTGGTCGGGAGGTCGGGGGCCCGTGTCTCGAAAAAATCGAGACGTCGGATGTCTGGGAATGAAGCGACCGTTTTGGCCTCTTGGACTCTCGTCTCTTCTCGGAGCCCAACGGTCAGCGCAATGTAGCAAACATGGTAGTTGGGCCTCCCAAGAAGGAGCCAGCCAGGGGTGTTGCACGGGCCCCTTCGCGCCCAGACTGTGGAGGCGTCTAAGGCGAAACGCCAGTGTGCGGCTCTGGACTTTCGTCCACTCGTGTGCACACTGTTGCTCTGAAGCTGAATGGCCGTTTTGGGGAGTAGCCGTGTTTCTTGTCATAATCACATGATCCCGAAAAGGAGGCCGGTCAAGTGTATGACACTGGACCGTTCGCATCCAGAACAGGCATGGCATTTGGACCTGCCACTACGGAGCCGCCAGGGAGTGTGACAACTGGCCCGTTCGCGCCCAGATTGCGAGGACCTCCCAAGCGCCCACATTGCAGGATCCCCTCACGAATGTCCAGCCCACTCATACCCAGAGTCCCTTACATTCAACCACGCACACTCAGGCTCACTCGCACCCAGACCCAGTCACATCCAGGCACTCATACGCAGACATCGAGGCGCTCACAATCGGACTCACCTCTACTCAGACTCTCAGAAAAAGAGCGCGCTGGAAGATGGATACAAATATGGAAATATTGGGATCTCCACGTCGAATGATGAGTATTGTTGTCGTCGTCGCCCTTCCCCTCCCCCCCCCTCTGCGCCGCGACCCACCTGGGACCCATCCATGCCTCGACCCATCTGCGACCCAACCGCGTCGCGACCAACTAACCCGCCGCATTGGCTCAACCAAATCGGCATTCGCTGCGATCCTACCCACGCACATTTATTTCAAAAACAAAGTCGGCGCCTGAAGCGGGCTGTTTTGCAGTGGCTTTGGAACATATCATTGTGCGCCCCAGCCCCGGCGCTCCCTCACTCTGGTCCGAAGCTGCGGGGGGCTGTATCAGAGTGCGGCGGCCGAGCTGTCTTACACAGTCCCTGGGTACACGATTGCACACAAGTTCCGCGGTGCGGATTATTGCTGAATTCTCATCTCTACGGACAAATTATTGTTAATCCCACCCTCCTGTGACATATTTGTTTTCAATTGAAATGCCCCTCCCGGGGCTCGCACCCTGTTTTTTACAATGGGAAGGTGAAGTCTTGTTACAACAGCAACAACAACGACCATCATGTTAAGACTGTTCGTTCTTACCTGCGCGCGTGCCATTCGACAAGCGTGCCCCAAACCCTCGATATCCGCCCTCTGTTTCTTCGATCGGACCCACCTGACGCGTGTAGTTGGTGCAGCCCCTAAAGCAGGGGAGCAGGAGACGGATGGAAGGGTGAGGGCGAAGGATGGAGCACGGGATTAGCAGGAGGGGGGCTAGGATACAGTGAACCCGTATAATAAGGATACGCGGCAAGGATGCAAGGGCCTTGGAGGGCCAGGTTAGCGTTTTTTCGAGCGAGGTTGGCCAGCGCAAGGCGCTAAGGACGGGCCGAAGGGGCAAGGATGACAGGGCACCCTTGGAAAGTCGCTCATCCTTACTATGCGGGTCGACTGTAGGCGGCGCGCCTGGGGGGGAAGTGAGAAGGGTTGGGCCTTCGCAGAAGGCTCGGAAGTCCCCCGGACTTCCGAGAAGTCTTCTAAGACTTCCCCGAAGACACAACAAAACCTCTCAGAAGGCGCGAGGGCTCCTGAGGAGTCCCGCCGCCTTCTGAGAAGGCCTTCTCCCTCTCGACTCCCCCCCTCGCTCCCCGCCGATAGGAGCAGAAAGGACGCGGCAGACCAGACATGTTGATGGGACTGGTAGACCCAAACGGGCGGGTCGGGAAGGCGGACCCACGCGGCCAGGTCGAGCAGGTTTGGGCTGCCGAAGCGGGACTGCTGCATGAATCGCGAGCCCCGGGAGGAGCACTCGAATTGGAAAATTCAATGGTCACTGGGCAGAGGACATCGACCATGACTATTCTCTGAAATTCGAACTCAAGATAATTATCAACGGCTAACGATAATTATTACACATTCGAATTCAAGATAATTTGACAATTATTCAACGGTAACTACCAACGACAACTGTTCAAAGGCTCCCGCCTGATACTTCCCTCACAGTCTATCGAAGAATCGCGCTCCCGCCCGAGACGTCCGTACAAGCTACCCAAGAACAGCGCTCTCGCCTGAGACATCCTCACAACTTGTTCACGAGTCGCTGTCTCGGCGCTCTGGGATTGCGCCCTCGCTCGGGACTACCTCATCATTCACTCACGAACCGCGCTCTCGCATGAGACTTCCTTGCCAACCCCTCTTGCTAAGCCTTCTTGCGGACCCCACTCGTCCTCCATCTCTCCTTCCCTCTTGCCCCATTTCCCTTCTACCTCCCTTCCTCCTTACTCTTCCCCTTGTAAAGTATTTAAATTACTCCTGATTCAGGGGCTGCGCCAATTACTCGTGGCAGGGAGGGAAGATACCCCTTCCACAGGGGGCACGATCAAAGACGAAGAGGGCCTGCACCGAGGGTTGAGATACATATGTTGGTTGACACGCCAGCATGTGAGAACGAACAAGATTAGAATGATTATTGTTATTCGTCGCCCTCGCCCACAACCCACCCGCGCCCACCCGCGGCCCACACTCGACCCGTCCGCGACCCTCACGACCCAGCTCCGACCCACCCGCGCTACTTTGCCAAAAAATCTGCGCCTGCGGCGGGCGTCTTTACATATGCTTTCGAGCCTCCCCAAGATGCCGACGACACTCCCCTTACGCCCCCTCATTCCTATCCACATCTGCTGCGGGGGAACTATGTTATCTCACTGCTGCCCTCCACCCCCCTCTTCACCCCACGCCCCCACGCCCTCCACCAGCCAAGGCAGGGGAGGGGACGGAGGAAGGGAAGGGGGAGACGGGGAAAAAAGAGGAAGGGGGGGGAGAGGCGGGCACGGAGAAGAGAGACGCGAGGGTGGAGGGAGAGGAGGCACGGCTGGTGGACAGAATCCTGCACAGCCCGCGCGACCAGGGTGCCGGCGCAGACTTCAGCGCGCCCCCCTGCCCCCGATTCGATCGACGACGACGACGACGAGGACCATGACGACGACGAAGACGACGACGGCGACGACGACGCATATGGTGACGACGACGGTGGCGGCGGCGACACCTCCTCCTCCTCCTCCTCCGCGTTGCGTGTTCGGGCCGACCCACGGCGCGCGTGATTGAAACATACTTCCACCAGAGAAAGTCCCCAAGCAGTGGATGGTTTGAACACCAGGGATGTGGATATCAAAAACGATTGTACGATCGATAGACACAGAGATCGATGGTGAGGTCGGCATTGGGGTCGGTCGTGAGATCGGTAGTGAGGTCAATCATGAGACCGATGGTGAAGTCGACTCGGTGCAATCGATAGCGAGATGGCTCGTGTGATCTATAGTGGAATCGATTGTGAGATCGATAGTGTGATCGATCGTGAGACCGATAATAAGATCGATAGAGAGGTGGGTAATGAGATCGATGGCGAGACCGATCGATAAGGACATCGACCAAGAACCCACGAACCCCGAAACCCAGGAACCCCGCCGCGCGCCCACCGAATCGGCTCGGAATCAGCAGCCAGGAACCAGGGAACCTGGAACTGGGAACCCGGGAATCCCGCCGCCTATACCGAAATCGGCTGGGACCTCTCGCCAAATCTTTCAACATCCGCCAGGACCCCTTGTCAGTTGCAAACGCTGATTGGGGAACTGCCGAGCTCCGCTGGATAGATTCATCAGACATAGGAGGGTGGTACACGCTCCCTTCGTCGGCGCCCGCGATGACCCCCTGCACGCGCGATTCAAACAAGATGCCGAGCTCCGCTGGACCTAGTCATCAGCCATGGGAGGGGGGCTCACTTTTCATCACAAGCAGACATCACCCAAGAGCCACCAGGAGCGGGGACTGGGCACGGGCAGCGACCGTTACGCGCCAGAGGATTACAACAAAACAAAACAAACACCTCCCTCCTCCTCCTCCTCCTCCTGCTCCTGCTCCTCCTCCTCCTCCTCCTCACCCCCAACCTCGCCACCGCGGGGGGGTCATGTGCTAATCACAAGCGGATCGGCGACCTGCATCGGCGTGTTGATCGGCACCTCCGCAGCGGCGGGCCGCGGCGCGGCGCAGGCCGCCAGGGCGGCCGCCAGGGGCGCCCACGCCGCGGCCCTGGCCGCGGCGCCTGGAAGAGCTGCGGGGGGCCCACTGCGGAGGAGGAGGAAGCGCGGGGAGAAGGCGAGCAGC